TGTGTGCTAATACTGTGTTGAGAACTTTTGTGTCTATGTTAATTATGGAGACTGGCATGCAGTCTTTGTGAGTTGGGTTTTTGACTAGTTTTGGAATCAAAGTGATGTTGGCTTCCATAAATGACTTAAAAAGGACTCCTTTTCAGTTTCATGAAAAAGCTTGAGGAGTACTGGTGATATTACATCCTTAAAAGTTTTTGTTTTAGAATTCAGCAATGAATACAACATGCTCTGAACTATTTTTAGTTGGTAGGTTTTTTTTTTAATAGTGTTCCAATTTCATAACTCATTATTGGGTTGTCAAGCATCTTTGTACCTTTTGAGGTTAGCTTTGATAATTTGTATAAGTATAGGAATTTGTTCATGTCTTTAAGATTTCCCAACTTGATGGAATACAATTTTTTGTAGGAGTTACTATCTTCTAGATTTCAATGTTGTCTGTTGTGTTTCTACCCTTTACATTTGTACTTGCATTGATATGAGTCTTTCCTCCTCTTCCCTTGCTAAGTATGGCTAAGGGTTTGTCGTGTGTGTGTGTGTGTGCATGTGTGTGTGTTTTATTTCAAAAAACCAACTCTTCAGATTTGTTCATTCTCTATATTGATTTTTAGCCTCAATTTCATTGATTTCTCCTCTTATCCTTAAAATTTACTTCCTTAATTCTGGTTTGGGCTTGAGTTATTTTTTCTTGAGTATCTCAAGGTTCCTCATTAGGTTATTTATTTGAGTTGCTTTCTTGTCATAATGCAAGCATTGATTGCAATGAACTTCCTTCTTAGGACTGTTTTTCAGTGTGTCATGTAACTTTCAACATGTTGTGCAAGCTTTGTCAGTATCTTCCATAAATTGTTTCATTTCTCTTATGACCCATTAAGCATTCAGGAGTGAGTTATTAAGTTTCCAAGATTTCTAAATTATCTTTGGTTTTTTCTTTGGCAAATTCCAATTTTTTTTTGCACAGTGGTCTGAAGTAAAAATGGGGGTGATTCAGTTCTCTCATATTTATTTAAGCAAGTTCTTTTGACTAGTACATGATCTATTTTGGAGACTATATCATGAGCTATAGTAAATAATGTATATTCTGTTGTAATAGAATCTACTCTGTAGATATCTATTAGTATATATGTTCAAGGGTGTCACTGAGTTCTGATATTTCTTTATTGATTTTGCTGTCTAGTTGATCTATATTTTTTTCAAAAATGGGATGCAAACACATTTTCATGGGGCTGTAATTTCAATGTCTCTTCTGATTTGAATTTACTTGCCCTGCCTGCTTGAACTGCTTTCTAAAAATATATGTGCTACTGTCATATTCCAAACCCAAATGTGTATGACATTTTGTGCTCTCTGAACAAATCAGTAGGTTTTAAGTATACTTTAAAGAATTCTTGAATCTAATTTCTTTTAATTTCATTAAATAAATTAGTTGATTACTATATTTTTAATTGATGTTATTTTTTAAATTTTACAGTAATTATTCAAATTAATGCAACTAATTAGATTTGGACCACTTATACAATTTGCATTAATTTTTACTAGTAAAAAGACCAACAAAAGTGATTAGAGCTATTTGTACCAACCGTGGTACAAGCCATCTTCTGGAACAGTCAAGCATGTACCAATAGTTGAAGATGGTGAAAATGTGTGAACCAATGAAAATTATGTTCCCAAAGAACTAATGAGAGACTATCTACTATGTGTTATAAATATTTTCAATGTATAGAAAAGCCATTCATGAACAGGCAAAGGGATATATACTAAGCAATACATTTTATTTGGTAGACTGAAAAGCACATTATTATGCAATGATATATGGAATAAGTGATAAGAATGCAGTCAATACATTGAGAATGATTATAGTGAGACAGAGTTTCATTTTGCAGTTCCGACTGGGCTTGAACTTACTCTGTAGTCTGAGTTGGCCTTGAATTCACAGCAATCCTTTTGCCTCAGCCTCCTGAGTGCTGGGATTGTAGGTGTGTGCCACTATGCCTGGCTTGTTTTTATCTTTGAGCAAGCATAAAACTCATGAACTGTGCTCTATTGTGTCCAAACATAAAGCTCTACTTACCAACCACTTTATCCATGTCTAAGTGAGATATTATGTCATCTATTGTTGGGTACAGTGCTGGAAGATTTTCTGATGTAACTGGAAGTTGAGAAGCCACTTCATATTTAGCTATGAAAATAACAGATTTCCTCATTGGGTCATTTAAAGTTAGTAATTTTTTGAGGTAAAATATACTGCTTAACACTAGTGGATATATTTTATCATACAATCATTTAACTTTATTTCCCTTAAAATTTAACATACTAATTACTCAACTGAACATAAATCTTAAATAGCTAAAAAACTTACAAAGGAGCTATAATACAAGCTATAATATATTAATAACAACTTTTCAAATAGTGTTATTTAACTCTCAGAGAACTGAGCTAGGTTTTATAACCTCCTCAAAGACCTGTGAAAAACACAGCTTAGAAAGATTACATTTTTAAAAATTGTAGTTATTATTTAAAATAGAAATTAATTCTTTTAGATAAATGCAAGTTGTCTACTAGGACTGAGTGTCTAATTGGAATGAGACCAGTTCCATGATGATTGGGATGGCATGAAGTTCAGAGGTGAAATGAATAGCACCTGTGTTTTATTTTTAATTTTTATGTAAAGTTTGAGGGTTTTTTGACAGTACACATAAAGTATTAAAGCCTTCAGTATAACCCAATCTTGTAGTATAATGTAGTTATATATGTCTTTGTTTTGTTATCTACACTTACTGATAATACAAAAATAATGATATTCAAAGCTCAAAACAATAAACAGTAACCAAAAATCCTCTTGACAGCATTGGTAGACTTTATCCTTTATGTATTTATACAAAACTTGAACTTAAATTTTTAACATTTTTAATCAAATTTCATCTTTGCTACCACAGATCTATTAGGTTCTCTGGCCTTTCCAAATGCTCATGTATCAGGAAGGCATCCAACCCTAAAGCCAGCAGCCATTTTAAAAATTTTGTCTCTTTTGTTGTTTGGAAAGAATGTAAACTGCATTTTTACCATTCAGATTACAATAATCAAGTACAAAAAAATTTATTTCACACCCTATATACTGTTAAAGTTACATATAAAAGCACCTAAAAAAATTTAAAAACAAGATCACAGCGCATTACACTTTGGAACATATATGGCTGCAACATAAGAACATTTACAATGAAAATTTACAGATCTCTCTCTGTTTCTCAAGGAAATAAAAATAATGGAGCTGTAATTACCCTTTTCATCTAGATTCTTAAAGTGCAGCACTCACCAGAATTGAATTATTGCATGTTTAGCGCACCTCCTTATCATATGATTTCTTCAAAACATGCTAAAATTGTTTTTTTAGAATCTAATTTTGTGCTAAGCATGCCCTGTCTCAAGTTACCCTGAAGGCAAAGAAGGAATAACAGATGTCCACAAAAGGTATATCCACTAAAACATTTATCCTGCATAGTTAAATCACATTATACATACAAACTTTAATTCATTGTTTAACATGCTTACCCTCAACCTATCAAGCGAGCTAAACACTACAGTTATCATAATTGCATCCCACCCATAACTTTGTTTTGTTCCCCAGTGCATTAAAGGGAACAGCACAGCAATAACTTCTGTAATTAAGAAGATAATTTGTTAGTCCTTTAAATGCTCAGCCACATTAGAAACCATACTTCTGTTAACTAATCTCTTTTGCCTTCTGGTATTGGGAGCTGAAAAATACAGCTCTGTGGGCACCACAAAGACTAGCAAAAGTAATCATTTAAAAAAGACAACAAAAGTGGTGGGGGGAGGCTGGGAATATAGCTCAGCAGCACAAGTGCCTGCCTGGCAAGTGCAGGGTCCTGATTTCGATTTCTTACACAAAAAACAAAAAATAATGAAAACAAAAAGAAGGAAAATAAAAGTGTGACATGTTAAAAAAACCCTAAAAATTAAATAGTTCCAGATGACAGCAAATGAGTGAAAATGATTCATTTGCTAGGCAAACTAAGATTTCACTTAACGATTTAATAGAAATCTGGAATGGTAGGACCAACTCTAAACGTGGTTCAAGAATATCTGAGCAAAGAAGCTGTATTTCTGGAAATGTTTTTTTTCAAAGGCAATCATGTAATGCAGTAGCAACATAGGTCACAGAAGGATTCACAAATTGTCACATTACAAGATGTAGGATTAGCTGGGCTTGGTGGCACATGCCCATAATCCGATCACTCGGGAGGCTGAGGCAGGAGGACCACTGTGAGTTCAAGGCCACCCTGGGTTACATATTGAGTTCAAAGTTAGCTTGAACTACATAGCAAAACCCTATATAAAACAAAAATGTGGTAGAATTATGGATAATATAATTCTAAAACAATTATTCATTCTCTTGCTTAGCACAAAGAGTGACACTTTCAATAATAAATATAATTTCTTCTTTAAAATAGTTACTTACAAGTCAAAGCAAAGTAACAAGTGAATTTCTTATAACAGCTTTTTCTCTTAAGAGTCCTTGAGGGCAAAGCAGGTTGCCTACACAGAATAAAGATTTCTACAGTAACGTTTTTAAGCAGACACATATTTTGTGTATCCCTTGCAAAAAGATTTGTAAAACTCACGTGATAGCTGTGCATGTATACATTAAACAGCCCACCCCCCCACCCTGCAAGAAACATTTTCAGTGAGACCCAATGCAGACTGAACAGCATCACCTCCTTAAAGTTCTGGCAAGTATCCTTAGCTATAGCTGAAGTCCTGATTTTTTTCTTTTCTTTTTTGAGCTTCAGCACAAGAATTTTATCTTTTATTTTTTTAAACAATACAAAACAGTAATTAAAAAAAAAAGTAAAGTAGTAGGAATTCAACAATGGTTGCTGTATTGCATGATGTTATCTTCAAATCAGTTTGAAATCCTTTTTAAAATGGTCAATTCTCTTTTCATTTGGATTTATGAATCCCAAAGGAGCAAGATACATTTCTGGGATTGTGTTGCATCCATGTTCTGATTTTTCTCCTACTGAAATGCTTTAGTTGTACTTGGGCAAACGGCAGAACCCATTTCTTTTGACCCTGCTCCTGTCCAGGGGCTGCACTAGCCATGTCGCTCTCTGCTACTACTACAAAGTAGAACCCAGTACTGCATCATTTTCTATAGCTGAACACTGCTATGTGATGTAAAACTAATGTCAGCTTTCCAGACATATTTACATTGGAATAGATATGAAATTTCACAAGAACAGAATCATCACACACCTCCAAAGCGCTGACCCAAAGTGACTGTCATGCTGTCTGCGCTAGCGTGCACAGGCTGACCACCTGCATGCAGCACTGCTCAGCATTGCAGCACCAGCTCCATATCCACACAGCCTCTTTGAGGCTGCAGATTTTGTTGTTAAGAAGTGCTTAAAAGTCATGTTGACATGAATATTTTATTACAGATGTTGGGTCTAAATAAATCCTTTCAACAAAACTACAAGCAGGAGGATGAGAGAGCCTCAGTGATTAGGCGCAGAAAAATTAGCAAAGTGTCACACCAACAGATGAACAGCAGTCTTGATATATATGACATTTCAACTGTTATGTTTACTAATTGGATATTTTAAGTTTTCTTTTAGAATTTAATGAAAGCAAACTATAATTGAAATCATGGCATGGAGTAGCTAGGCTTTCCCATTAATTGGTTACTTACTGTTGACTCAAACACTATTTTCTTGATCAGAATACAAAATAAAGAGCACATGAACACACAAGAAATGTCCTAAAAAAAGCAACTTGAAACTTGTTTCAAACACTGAAAATGTAAAACTGGATAAAAGGGTCTAACTGCATTTATGGTGTAAGCTCATTTCTACTTTCTTTTTTGAAAAAAAGTTTCTTCAGAAACATCGCCTCCCTACACTTTTTTAAAATACTTAGAAAAAATAAGACTTATGGTCACGCACTGAAATGCAGCAGGTCTTTGACCTTGAGATTTCTACAATATATCTGCAGCCATCAGAGGCCCAAGATGCTCATTATAGCATGATAGTCAAATTTGAAATTCAAGAAAGTTTAGGTGAAAAAGGCAACTTGCAACACGTCATGGCATCCTCAGGATGTTCTAGCAGCTGCTCGTCAATGGAGCAAGACAAGTCACACATAGCAGCTGCTCCCAAGTTATCCTGAAGGTTTCATGAATGTAGCTTCTCTTCACATATCATCAAGGGATTCTGGGACTTTGCTGGCTGGCTATGGGTTCCATTTGTTCTTTTCTTTTGATTAGCTGAGTACTTTTCCCCCTTAATTATGCATTTTAAATAACAATATGTGCCTTTCATTTTTACAGTTATAAATTTTCTAATCTATTTTAGACAACAGCATGTAACAATTTTGAATCAATTTAAATGTTGCTTTAAATTTGAAAGACAGTGAATACATGTATATAAAAAATAACAATGTATGATTTATCTGACAGATATTTAAAGATAAATAAAAGCTTATTTTTGAATATACAGTTAGGAAGTGAGGGAAACAAGCCAACCTCTCTGCACTGTCTTGCTGCTGGCTTGGTCATGCAGTGATATCAATAGTTGTGTTTGGAAGAAGCCATGTGCCTTCCACCCATCTGGTTAAGATCAGATACCACAATCATCAAGAGGGATAGAGGAGACAGTGAAAGGACAGTAGGCAGGTGTTAAATGTCAAAATTTAAGTGCCTTTTGCACTTTTTATAGGTGCAGGATTAAACACAAGCCAAGCCAAGCCAATGAAGGGGAAAATTATATATAATTAGGAACAAAATTATAATTGAATCAAGACAGAATAGCTGAATTAAGTTTTTTTAATAGATTGCATAGATAGATGCTTAGCCATACTATTAAGATCAACTCTTTAAGAGCAGAACTTTATATCCAATTTACATGCTTCAGATACCACTTTCTTATTTTTTACAGTAAAGTCTTGTATCCAAATATCTACTTGTATACTGAGCACTTTAAGAAAAAAACAGGACACAGAGGGATTGCCATTTTTTTTTTAGCAGCAATGAAATATCACTAACCCCTTTTTCTAACATACCAAATTCAAGTCACTATCAGAGGTGAGTGCATCACAAAGTCACTAGGTACAAAATTGCTAGTTCATTTTTAAATAACTTGAAATTACCCCTGACCCCCACCCCATTAATCCCTTTTATAAACAGCAAAGATTTTTGCTTTTATACATAGGCTAGCAGGTTTGTTTCAATATGAAAGTGATAATTAATTCACAAATTTTTATATCAGTTATGTAGTGCTACAATAAATGTCCAATAATCTACAAAGGAACAATCTTTGATGAAAGAAAATGAGGAACACAGAATAAGGCTATCAGATTACCTTATCTTATTTACATACAAAGGATACCCAATGGTAAGGAGACAGAAATCGGACAAGTACTCACAGATATAAAAATTACATCTATTTTTGAGCTTTATTCTGTAAATGAGACATTTTATTTTATTTTATTTTATTGAGACATTTAAAATAATCCTGTAGCCCCTGCCTATTTTTTTCTTCAGACAAGGAAAAGCTGCCTTCATGACATCCTTTTTGTTTTGGATTTTTCCAGTGTAACTTGAAGCTTCAGTCAGGATCTTACTCTCTCTAAAAAAAAAAAAAAAAAAAATGCCCACTAGCTACCCCCTCCCCCACAACCCCTCTAGCTTTTTGTCCAGGGCTAGGTTGCAATGATTAGGTCCCAACTCCTGGGTTTCTTCCTCTCTTTCTCTTTTTTTTTTTTTGTCCATCTATTGATCAATTACAGCAGAAAACATAAACCAGTTCTGGAACCACTACAAGGAGGAACACAAACTATTCACTACAACCACACAGCAGGAGAGAAATTCATCCCTAGTGTCAGGCTTCCAAAATTGAGAGAACTTGGCACAACTGGAGCACTGAATTTGTATTTTCCATGCTTCTCAATCATTTTGGATCATGAGCTGCTCTTCTTTGATCAGCCAGAGTTGCTATGTCCTGTAACTGTTTTCTTTGTTCTTCATTAAGACCATGAGTCAGAGCCTGATACCACACAGGGTTATGATTTTTGAATAGTTTGAAATACAGCTTTAAATATCTGATATTCATCAACAGGGTTGTCTTCATCACCGACAATTGTGGAATAGCCTTCCAGAGCAATTTCCTCACATTAGCTGAGTCTTGATACTGTTTGCTGCCATTTTCCTTCATACTCCAATTCTTTGCTGCAAAAAGGTCAGGCATTTCAGACTGGTTATTGTATGGCTTTTGGTACACTAGATGCTTACGCTGCACCCACTAGTCACCAAGAGAATCTTCAGGAATGAACAGCCTGCTGGGCTGGAATGTAGTTCCACTCAATTTTTTTCATATTGGGGTTAGCTGGTGGGCTACCAGCTGAAGAAAAAAATCCATTGTCATTGTCTGAGGAATCCTGAATCCTCAAAAAAGCCTGTCCCTTAATGGTCTGATAAAGGTCATTAAAATTTTGTTAGGTACCACAAGTTTGGATTTGAGGGTTGCATCACTTCTCTGACAGGGTAATTTCTCAAGGGAGAACAATTCAACATTCTAGATTTCTCTTCAGATTTTTGGGTTAAATCTTGTGTCTTCTGGAATTCCTGGAATGATGTACAAATGAGCAAGCTGGTCACTGATTCACAGTGCAGTTTTAGCATCCTTAAAGACAGTCTTTGATATCAAAACCAATTTCTTAAAAATTCTCTCTAGCATGGTCCTAAGGAGCTTCTTCTTCTTTTTTTAATTTTCATTTATTTATTTAATTTTTTTTACGGAACCGGGGATTGAACTCAGGCCCCTGCTCTTGCCAGAGAAGAGCTTATCCCACTGAGACATCTCCCTGACCCCAAGGAGCTTCTTTTATTTATATACTTTTCTTTTTGGAAATCCTCAGCCTGATTTTTCTAGGTACCCTAGTATCAGTCATACATTTGGCAAAGCTCTCATCCCACACTGAGGTAACGGTGTACTCTGCACGTAGAAATTTGATTAAAAACCAATGTACAAGTTCCATGTGTAAACACACTCGGATTGCATTGTCTCCTTTCTCCCTGCTGTTGAGAATCTCCTCATACGTGGTTCCCAGGAGGACCCTTAATAGGAGAAGTACATCTCAGCTCTGCACCTCAGGATCAACGTACAGCACCGAGATCCCAGCTTGCAGGACACCAGGCAGCTGTGGAAGCCATGACTGCACCGACGAAAGGGAGAGCTGCATCTATTCTATATAGAGCTGTTACTCTGACTGAGTGCTACAAACACAGGATTATAATCCCAAATGTTTTAAGTGCGCAGGAGAAATTAGAAACTTAGATGCAGTTTTCTATATGTATTTAAACTGTGTTCTCAATGGTTTTTTTTATTGTACTCAAAGTATTACATGGTAACACAGTATTCAGAAGGCTTCTTTTCATATAGCTATTTTAAACGAGTAATCACTTTGCTATTTTTTTCAAATAGTTCTTTATTCCTATATAGAAATATTATATATTTTTTCTGTTCTCTTTTCCTGCAAGTTTATTGAATTTTCTGAATTATTCGTTCTAACTAAATAATATATACAGATATCTCCTTGAACAAGAGCATCTGAAAATGAATAATTTAGGGCAAAATACCTATCAAACTACCATCAACATACCTCCCAGACCTAGAGAAATTGCTCCTACAATTTATTTGGAACCAGAAAAGACCTACAATAGCAAAGGCAATCCTGGGTAACAAAGACAAGGCAGGAGGCATTACAATTCCTGACTTGAAATTATACGACAAAGCTACTGTGATAAAAATCAGCATGGTATTTATCTATAGCTATGGAGAAGTCAGCCACCGATGTCTCTAAATGGTTTCTCCTACTTGGGCAGAAGATAAGAAGGAGCATGTTGGACTGAAAAGATTGTTACAACTCTCCTTATGTCTGGAAGTGTCCAACAATAAGGGCCTGGGAAAAATAATTGTCTCAATTAATTGAGACAATAATTGTCTCTTTCTGTCAACTGGCCAAGATTCTGAAAGGGAAGAAGGCCAAGGGCAAGAAGGTGGCCTTGGCCCCTGCTGTCTTCAAGAAGCAGGAGGCCAAGAAGGTGGTAAGTTTTTTGTTTGAGAAGAGGCCAAAGAATTTTGGCATTGGACAGGATATCCAGCCCAAGAGAGAACTCACCCGCTTTGTCAAATGGCTCCACTACATCTAGAGGGCCATCTTGTACAAGTGGCTGAAGGTGCCCCCTGCGATTAACCAGTTCACCCAGCCCTTGGACCATCAAACAGCTACCCAGCTGCTTAAGCTCGCCCACTAGTACAGACCAGAGACCAAGCAAGAGAAGAAGCAGAGGCTGTTGGCCCGGGCAGAGAAGAAAGCTTCTGGCAAAGGGGATGTCCCCATTAAGAGGCCACCAGTCCTCAGAGCAGTTGTCATCACTGTCACCACTCTGGTAGAGAGCAAGAAGACTCAACTGGTGGTGACTGCACATGACGTGGACCCCATCAAGCAGGTCATATTCCTGCCTGCCCTGTGTCACAAGATGGGGGTCCCTTACTGCATCATCAAAGCTGGGACATCTGGTCTACAGAAAGACCTGTACCACTGTTGCCTTCACACAAGTCAACTCTGAAGACAAAGGTGCGCTGGCTAAGCTGGTGGAGGCCATCAGGACAAACTACAATGACAGATACGATGAGATTTGTCATGGCAAGGCAATCTTCTGGGTCAAAAATCTGTGGCTCTTATTGCCAAGAAAGCAAAGAGCTTGCCACTAAACTGGGCTAAGTGTACTCTTGCGTTTTCTGTACATAAAACAATAACTTGTCCTTAATCCAGAGTAAAAAAATTATAAATACTCTCACAAGGAATAATATTTGATCTAGCTTTTTTTTCTCTGTGTATGAATATTAGTTTACTCTTGCTTTTATAGTGTCCTATCCTGTTGTGTCATGTTTTCTCACATCAAGTTGTTTTATAGAGTGTTCTAATTTGGTGCTGCTGTTAGTGCATTAATTGCACTCAATCGCCTTACCTCTTTTCTAACTTTCCATTTAAATTCCCACCTCTTCTTTCTTCTTCTTTAATAATCTCTCATATTTTCCCTGCCATCTCTTTGTTTTTATGTATAAAAATATCACTGTTAATGCTTATTTTTTATTTTTGTTTATTCTAGCCTATTCTACATTACTAATCTATCTTTCTTTTCCTGTGTTAGTGAAATACTAGAAAACTTATAAAAATAAGCTAAATTATATTTATCTATACAGTCATTTCCATAATGCTGGTGTTGCTAGTTAGTCTCTCCTCACAAACAAGTGCTGATTATTAAAACTAGTAATTTGAATGGATTCCATGGGCTCTTTCATGCAGAGATATGTAGCATTTACTAAAAATTCCTCACACAGGAATGGTAGTTATTGATCTCAAATGATCTATAGTCTTCAACAGGAAAACACAAGAATCACAGAAAAAAAGATAGCGTGGGGCCAGGGAGATGGTTCAGTAGAATAGGCACTTGCCTGGCAAGTGCAAGGACTTGAGTTCAATCCCTGGTTCCGCTAAAAAAACCCCAAAAAACCCCAAAAAACAAAAAAACCAAGATTGCAACATACATCCAAAAATTTGTAACTATCTAAAAAATAATCTTAGAGATACTAAAATAGACAAATTCCAGACAAATAATTTTTACAAACTGTTATTTAAAAGTAGCAATGAATCAGGCATGGTGGCACATACCTGTAATCACAGCACTCAGGAGGCTGAGGCAGGAGGATTGTTGTGAGTTCCAGACCAGCCTGGGCTACAAAGTGTGCTCAAGGCCAGCCTGAACTGCATAGCAAGACCCTGTCTCAAAAAAGAGAAAAATAAAATAAAAGAAAATTAGCAATAAGATTAAAGAAGAAGCAAATAAGCAGAAGGACTAAATAATAGTTAAAATGATGAATAATCTCAAAGATGCCCCAAACAAGCAGATGAATGAATTAAGGGAAATGATACAGGGTATGAAGCACCACTTCAATAAGCACAGGTTCTGAGACCCTCAAAGTTCCTTCTGAATGCTCTCAGATCTAATCAACTGAACAAAGTGGCAAGATACAAAATTTACATGTAAAAATCATTTGCTTTCTGATTCATCAATAATGAACATCCCAAAAAAGAAATTAAGAAAGCAATTCTATTCACAATCACTTTTAAAAATACCCTAGTAGTAAACCTATTCAACAAGGTAAAAGACTTCTATGAGTCTTTCCCCTTCTTACTCATTCCTGTCTATTGCCTCATGTGTCAGGAATCTCTTAGCTGGTTTCTGATTTCTCTCAGAGGGAACATGATCCATGTGTGTACATGTATTCAATGTATCTGTGGGAGCAGGAAAAGTAAGGTGCTTTCTCCTACTTGACATCTGTCTCCAGAAGGGGGAACTCTGACAGCAAGGGACACTCAGCAGACTTTAGGGCAGTGATGGCTGAGACTGTAGAGACTGAAGGCCAAACTGCAACCCAAAATGCACTTATTTATCACAAAGTGCCAACACTGCCATTAATGCTAAATACTGAAGTTTTAGTATAGAAAAAGTAACTCATGTATTAACATTTTTTGTCTTAAGAAAAAAACAACAGCAACAACAATAACAACGACAACACATGTGCCATCAGTTTAGCACCACTGGTTTAGGGGTTCATGTTCTTGGCCTTATCAGGCTCCTCCCACATGTTCTCATCATCATCTTTGTGTGTGTGTGTGTGTGTGTGTGTGTGTGT